GTTTGGATACCTAGTTTCAGCATCTCCTAAGGCCCGACTTACGTAATAAACAGGAAACTGCGTACCTTGCTCTTTTCGAACTAGTACACCACTTACTGCTATTTTGGACACTGCCAAGTATAAGTACATCTTCTCATCTGCCTTCGAAATGTGGAGCAGAGGTGGGCTTGATAAGTATCACTTCAATTCCTCCAATGCTTGCTGACATTCCAGGGTCCATGCGAAATTATTGTTCTTTTTGATTAAGGAAAAGAACCTTTGGCTTCGATCTGATGAGCTCGAAATGAATCGACCCAAGGAAGCTACCCGTACAGTTAGCCTTTGTACGACTTTCACACTATCTACAACTGTGATATCCTCGATGGCCTTAATCTTATCGGGGTTGATTTTGATTTCCCGATTTGATATCATGAAGCCGAGAAATTTGCCCGAACCGATCCCGAAGGCACATTTTTCGGGGTTAAGTTTCATGTTATACTTCCTCAAGATTTCAAATGTTTCTTGCAAATGAGTCAAATGGTCCTCTGCACGCAGGGACTTAACTAACATATCATCAATGTAAACTTCCATTGAATTACCTATTTGTTCCTCAAATATTTTGTTAACTAGGCGTTGGTATGTAGATCCTGTGTTTTATAGCCCGAAGGGCATTACATTGTAACAATAAGTTCCATACTTAGTGATAAAAGAAGTCTTTTCTTGGTCTACTGTTGTGATGACCCAAAAGGTCATCTCTTGTTTAAGAAGTCAAATCTATATTCTGAGGCCTTAAAAACCTCCTTTTTTCTCATCCCGATTTGCATGCGCAGTCCGGGCGCGTTTCCGGAAAGCTTTTATATGAAATTTAAGAAAAAGAGTGATTTTGGCTTTTAAATTTGATTAAAGTTGACTTCGGTCAAAATTTTTGGTAAACGGACCCGGACTTGTGATTTGACGATCCCATAGGGTCCGTAGTAAAATATGGGACTTGGGTGTATGCCTGGAATCGAATTACGAGGTCCCTAACCCGAAAAAAGAATTTTTAAAGAAAATTATTTGCTGGAAAATATATAGACTTTTGGAAATGAAATGATATGTGATATGGATGGTATCAGGCCAGTATTTTGGTCCTAGAGCCCGGTACAGGTTTAAAATAATAATTAAGTCAAATCTGTGAAATTTGGTAAGAATCGAAGTTGATTTGGTATAAATCGGACCCATAATTGAGAAAAATGGAAATTTTAATGTTCTTAACAGTTTCATGAATTTTGGTGCTAAATTCGTATTTGTTGATGTTATTTTGATGATTTGATCGCAGGAGCAAGTCTGTATGATATTTTTAGACTTGCGTGCATGTTTGGTTTAGAGCCCCGAGGGCTCGGGTGAGTTTTGGATTGGCCACGGAGTGATTAGGACTTAGGAAACTCAGTTGTGCATCTGGTATTTTTGCACGTGCCTCTGATCTTGCAATTGCGAGATCAGGATTCACAATTGCAAAGTAAGTAGGCCTGGGAAATGCGACCATTATGTCGCAAATGCGAACCAGACTTGGGCAGGCCACCCTTGCAAATGCGAACTCTGGGCCGGAATTGCGAAGGCCCTTCTATCGCAAATGCGAAGGCAACAGTATTTCAAAGGGTTCGCAATTATCGCAACTGCAATAACTGCGACCTATTAAGTGGGATTTCATACGGGTTTTTCATTATTTTGCAATTTTCTCAAACCATGAACATCCCTAGGTGATTTTTCAAAGGCCCAAACTTCTCCAAATCATAGGTAAGTGATTTCTAACTCTTCTTCTTCAATCTAATTCATCTTTTTACATGATTTCATCTCAAAATCTAGGGTTTTTCATGGGAAATTGGGTGTTTTTGGGTAGAAATAGGATTTTAAAATTTTAGGGGATTTGGACCTCAATTTGAGGTCGGATTTCAAAACCAATTTCATATTTGAGTTCGTGGGTGAATGGGTAATCAGGTTTTGGTTCGAACTTTGAGTTTTGACCAAGCGAGCTCGGGGTCGATTTGACTTTTTGGAAAAAAAATTGGGAAATCTATATTCATGCATTAGAATTGGTTTATCTAGCATTTATTGATGTTATTAAATAAATTATGACTAGATACAAGCGAATTGGAAGTGGAACTGAGAGGTAAAGCGGTAATGGAGTCTTGATTCTATCAGTGGAATTGAGGTAAATGTTTGGTCTAACCTTAGCTTGAGGGAATAGGAGTTGTGGTCTTATTTGCTACGTGTTAGTGTTGAGTACGACGTATAGGTGTTGTGACGACTATCTATACGTTGGTGTCAAGCATGCCCGTGAGTCTTATACCATGATTATTGTGATTCTATTGTGTACGACCCATGCTTAAATTGATGATTATCAATGTTGAACATGACTTATGATAATTTCGTGGTAATTGACCATTGTTGAGTATTGGCTCAAGTGAAGATCTATTTTGTAAAGTAACTATTCAAACGAGATTGGTTATAGCTAAATCCCTTGCCGAGATGTTCTTGTTTATATTGTTAACTTCCTTGCCGAGACGTATTATTTCTATTGTTTGGGTGAGGAAGAGTGTAAAGCACGAAGGGTGATGCCGTGCATGATATTGTGAGTGGGTGATAATGCACGAAGGGTGATGCCGTGCCGATATTGTGAGTGTTAATGCATGAAGGGTAATGTCGTGCCATGATTTGAGAGCTAATGCATGAAGGGTGATGCCGTGCGGATATTGTGAGTGTTAATGCACAAAGAGTTATGTCGTGCCATGATTATGAGAGGTAATGCACGAAGGGTGATGCCGTGTCGATTCTGTTGTTTCATATGGTGAGAACGAGAGTAAAAACACGAAGGGTGATGCTATGCACGTGTTATTGTTTCATTATTCTTGTTAATACAAATATGGTGTTCATTATGCTTCTCTATTTGGTTTACTGTTAGAATTTGATATTCCCAGCAGCATGACCCCTTCCCATCTTTATCTATTATTATTGTTCTATTAGTATATGACTTAACTGCACAGGTTTATATGGTTGTCGTGTCCTAGCTTTGTCACTACTTCGCCAAGGTTAGGCTCGGCACTTACCAGTACATGGGGTCGGTTGTACTGATACTGCACTCTGCACTCTTTTGTGCAGATTTTGGTGCCCGACTTGGTGAGTAGCTTGAGGTAGCTGCCTTCAGTCCACGGAGACCAAGGTAGATCTACTGGTGTTCGCAGAGCCTGAAGTCCCCCTTTTTCCACTTTAGTTTTTGCTGTCTCTTTTCATTTGAGAACATTTGTTATTCCCTTTCTGAACTAGTGTTTGTAGAAATTCGTAGATGTTCGTGAAACTTTGACACTAGATTCTTGGGTATACATGTATTGGAGTATTTAAATTGGTTATAACACTTTTGTACTTTATATCTGCTTAGTTTTAGTTACAGTTTATATCGGTTTGGGTTGATTGCTAATGTGTTAAAATCGTAGTAGTTGGCTTGCCTAACTTTTACGAGTAGGCTTCATCACGATCCCGATGGTGGAAAATCAGGGTCGTGACATCTGTATCCATTCGGATTTGATTGTACCCATAATAGGCGTCGAGAAAGGTAATGATCTCGTGGTCGGCCGTGGCATCGATCATGCGATCGATTTTAGGCAGGGCAAAAGAAACTTTCGGACACGCTTTGTTCAAGTCCTTATAGTCTAAATACATTCTAAGTTTGTTCCCCTTTTTGGGGACTACGACTACATTAGCTAACCATTCAGGATATTTTACTTCCCGAACGGATCCTATTTTGAGAAGTTTGGTTACCTCATCCTTTATGAAGTCGTGTTTTACCTCGGACTGGGGTCTTCTCTTTTGCCTAAGTGGTCTGAACTTGGGGTGTAGGCTCAGCCGATAAGTTGTTATCTCCGGTGAGATCCCTGTCATGTCTAAATGGGACCATACAAAGCAATCCATGTTATCAATAAGAAATTGAATAAGTTTTTTCCTGAGTTTGAGGGTCAACCCCGTTCCTAGGTATACCTTTCGTTTGGGTAGATACTCGATTAGTATCACCTGTTCCAGCTCCTCGACCATTGACATGGTTGCATCTGAATCTTCAGGAACAACAAAAGTTCGAGGAGTATGAATCCTCTTCTTCTTCTTTGATTACCTATTTCTCCGATTCGGTCGAGGCTGGGAACGGTGATTGCTAATTGGCCGTCTGCTTATCTTTGGTGCTCGATTTTTCTGAGGTTTAAGGTGCTGATATCGGTGTCACCTCGTCGACTGCAAATATTTCCTTTGCAGTGTGTTGTTCCCCGTAAATTGTTTTCACACCATCCATTATCGGGAATTTCATCCCATCCATTATCGGGAATTTCATCATTTGGTGAAGGGTCGACGGTACGTCCTCATGTTGTGGATCTAGGGCCTTTCGAGCAGTGCATTATATCTCATGTCGCCTTCGATGACATGGAATTTATATCTTGGATGGTCGTGGCCACATTTATTTTGTAGGATTATCTCCCCCTTTGTTGTTTTACTTGCCATGTTGAGGCCGTTTATGACTCGAGATGCAAGGACAATTTGGTCCTGCAGGCCGAGCTGCTCTATGACCCTCAATCTGATTATGTTTGTTGATCTACCTGGATCCATTAGAACACGTTTAACTTGAATTTTATTTAACAAAATAGAAATTACTAGGGCTTCGTTATGCGTCTAAGAAATGCCTTCCGCTTCTTCGTCATTGAATGATAAGATGCCTTCAGGCACATAATCCCAAGTCTGCTTTTCTCTGGTGATCGACACCTTAGTACGTTTGAATATAGGCCCTTATGAGATGTCAACTCCGCCAACGATCATACGAATAACATGCTGAGGCTCTTCCTGCTCATTCTTTCTGTTGGCGTCTCTCTCTCTCACTGAAGTGATTCTTATCTCGATCACTGAGAAACTCTCGAAGGTAGCCCTCGTTGAACAATCGTGCTACTTCCTCCCTTAGTTGTCTGCAGTTTTCGGTCCTATGGCCATGTGTGCCATGATATTTATACCTCAAGGTTGGATTCCTTTGAGAAGGATCGGTCTGTATAGGCCTGGTCCACCTGGTGTCTTTGATCCTTTCGATGGCCAATACAATCCCTGATGCATCAACACTGAGATTATACTCCGATAACCGAGGCGCTTCGGTAGGATCAACATTCTTATCAAAACCACTCTTGCTCATAAATCCCCGAGAATTTTGTCCTTGATAATTTCTTCGATCATTCCGTGTAGGATTGTGCCCCGAGCCACTGTTTCTTCGATCTACGATATGAGGCTAATATCGTTCTCTATTCAACTTTGTCTTCCTGTCGATGTCCCTCGGGGCTTTAACTGCCAACCTATTTGGATGTACTGAGCTGGAGGGGGCTTCTAATTGGTCGTCCTTGACCCTAATCTTCAATTAATATCGATTGTGTACGTCTGCTCAAGTTACAACTGGATACTTGGCCAAATTTTGCTTCAATTATGGTGATGCAATCGAACTCTGCTCGTCTAACTCCTGGGTGAAAGCTTGAATGGCCCAATCATCTGTGACCAGTGGTAATTCCATGCGCTCCATTTGAAATCGGGACATGAACTCCCTCAGCATTTCATTGTCCATTTGTCTTATCTTACAAACGCCCAATTTTGTTGTTGCGGCCTTTATGGCCCCGACGTGTGCATTCACAAAAGAATCTGCTTACATACAAAATAAATCGATGGAATTTGGTGGCAAGTTGTGATACCAAATCATTACTTCCTTTGATAGAGTTTTCCCAATTTTTTTCAACAAAACAGACTCGATCTCATAGTCTTCTAAGTCTTTTCCCGATATCCCGCATGTGTAAATAGTGATATGTTCATTAGGATCGGTGGTCTCGTTGTATTTCGGTATATCTTGCATACAGAACTTCTTTGGAATGGGCTTTGGAGCCACACTCTGAGGAAAAGGCTTCTGTACGAACTTTTTTGAATCCAAACCCTTTAAGATCAGGGGTGCCCCCGGTATTTGATCAACTCGGGAGTTGTATGTTTCTACCTTTTTGTCATTGTCTTTATTTCTCCCTACTCGATTCTTTTGGTTAGCTCCTCGAACATTTTCATAATTGTAGGATCAGTCCCCGGTCCGTTACCGTTCGTCCTTTCTGGCACTAGCTCGGTACAACGAGTGATTTCCGGCTCGACCATACTCGGAGTTCTGTGTTGACTCTGAAGCTGAGCAATAGTGGCCTGTTGAGCCTGTAACATCTCGAATATTACCTGGAGAGAAACTCCCCCGTCTCCTACACCCTGTGTTCCTTGGCCACCATATCGGCCTTCCCTGTGCACACTCCCTCTGGGTTCTGTGCCTAAGTCCGCATTCAAGGTAATGTGCGAACTGACATTGACTAGATCGGCAATCGGCACTTCCCCAGGGTTAATCGGTGGTACACCGGCTCCTGGAGCAATTACATTATCGTTTTCCCCGTGAAATCCAAGACCATCATTGTCATGCACGGGTACGTTTTGTGAGTTTGACATGTTTTAACTTGAGAACAATATATTTTTGACAAGAACAAGTGTGAAATAACGTGTGTTATCAAAATCAATACTGAAACAATCACTATTATCCTTAGCCCCACGGTAGGCGCCAAACTGTTTACCCTAAAATCTAAATAACAATTAAACTTATATTGTGATTTTAAAGATATATGATTTAGTCCAACACCAATTGATAAATAAGAAATTAAATGTCTAAATTGAAGAAATAAAGCAAGTCAAACCAGTGTGCAAACCAAGTCTTGACCTCTATGGTGGCCCCGAGGTAGGTTAGCAAGAACAACAAAATTGTAAGGAAACTATGATGAATAGTAAGCAAGAAGTGTAGAATGTATATTTCTTTGTCAATGAATCGTCGTTGCAAATGAATGGGCTCCCCTTTATATAGTGGGGTCCTAAATAAGGTACACTTCTAATTACAGTAAGGAATCTCATTGTACAGCTGTCTAATCGCCAAATACAAGTCCGTTTCGAAATTTACGCCGGATTTTCGGGCCGTTGCGGGAATCTCGCTCTTTCTGTTATTAAATCATAACGGTATTATCTCGAGGTTGATCATACTGGGCCTTGGTTTTCATCGAGCACTTTGATCTTCAAGTTTTACACTCCGCCATCCGGCTCGAGCCAGGTCTGTTTTGAGCTTTCTCTCGAAGCAGCTCCCTGAGCCTACAAAATCGAGCATACCTGATTTCGACCGTATACAATGGGAGTACCATTTAAAAAAAGCATTGTAGTAGCTCGGATTCAAACCTGGGTCATCGAAGGTACTTCAACACTTCTACAAACTAGCTCCTCTGTCTAGTTTTTATAATTTTAAGGGGGCTCATAAAATATTTAAGGGGTCCTTACTGTATCTATAGACTAGGCTTAGGATACGCGTGATGCGCTTGAATCCTATCTTAATGAGTATAATTTTTTTTAAATAGTATTGAGTTATAAAATAAAAATGTAAGTTCCTAAAGTTAGTCAGGACTATTGGTTGTGTATAACTAACTCAATAATTGAAGAAATTATCTCAGAAGTCCTCAATCCTCAATAATTCAACTTAACATTTGTTTTAGGTTTGTAATTTCATAATTTTAGTTTCACGATAAGAACCTTGAAAATTTAAATAATCTTAAAGGATATAACTTACAATATATAAGCAGTCAACTAAGAATCTACGAACTTTAAATAAACGCAAAATCAAAGTACAATAATAAACAAAAAAATATTTTTTTTAAAAAAAATAAAGCAAGCTAGTTAAGCTAGCTAATGAACTCACTCATATTTAGCTAAATGTATCATGGACTAAAAATTAAATATCTCATAAATTATCTTGTTGTTTTTGTGCCTATTATTGATTTATGTTCCACAATCCGCATAATTGTAATAATGTATTTAAAAAATTTTAAAGTTAAAAAGTATAATATTGAATAATTTTATTGGTGAAGAAGTCTTGTATATTTTTAAAAAGTGAACTATTTATGTTATTGTTCAAGAACCCGTACCTCTTCTTTCTTAAATCTTTTATTTTTCCTCTATCTATTTTTTATCATTTATATATAGTTTAATTGTAAACATATACAAAGTGAAATCTAATAAAGCTATAATATTATAACTTTCTACGTTGTTCAAATAAGAAACAAATTAATAAGTAAATTTTGACTAGTTTTAAACTCCTAAATATTAAAAAAGTAATTAAATGACTATTAAATGAAGTGTTTTTATAATATTTAATTTTTTTATAATAAATATCAAGTTTGAAATAAAAAGGAAAAGGTTGGTTTTAAATTATATACTTTCATTCTAGGTAAATAGTATTTCATTAATAGTATTTTATTGGACAGTAATATATACTCACGTTTTTTTATTTAATCAATATGTAATAATGGCTAAATGCTAAAAATTAGGAGTTCTCTTTAGTTTAATAAGAAAATATTTAATAAAGAATTGAGCGTCCTAAATATTTTAAAAGTAACTTAAATTACAATTGTATCCAATGTAATATATATTTTTAGAGGGTAAAAAAGTCGAACGATATTTCGCTAAAGACCTTCGTGCTTTTAATATAATACTAGTTTCAGGGTATATGCTTTGCACGTGTACCCTAACGAATGCACTTTCTAATACTTTATCTTAATATATATATATATATATATATATATATATATATNTTCTTATAACATTTTTTGGGTTGTATTTTTGCATAATGACTATTTAAATGTTGTAACTTTTGAGGTTCTTCTTAATCTTTAAAATTTTTATACTTAGAGATCTAGGATAACGTTTATTATGTGAATGGTATTAAGGTTGAATGATTTTGATAGCTTTTTTTATGCGAGTACTGTTAAGGTTAAAATGATTTTCAGTTTCATTTTTTTCCCAAAGTACAATTTAACAACCAATAAATGCAACATATTAAAATTATCATCAAACTAACAAAATATTACTAAATTCAAGCATAAAAGAATTGTGCGATTTTGCATGAAGCATCGTTAGCATAACATGCATGAATTTAGGGGTGTCAATGTATCACGACCTGGATTTTCTATCCTCGGGAATCGTGATGGCGCCTACTAGTGTTAGCTAGGCAAGCCAATTCTTTAAACTAATTACTTCATTATCCAATTATTATTTTTTTTAACAAATATAAAGCGATAGCGTATAAACATCGGAAATTTAATTTAAGCGGAAGAAAATAATAAAATATCTGAAATCTGTATCTATTACAATTGCTTAGGCCTTAATCACCCAAAACCTGGTGTCACAGTATCACAGACGGTCTAAGACTGCTAAATACAAGGTCTGAAAACAAAAGACACACTGTTTCTGAAGCAAAAAGATGAAACAAGAAATAAAAGATAGAGGATACGCTAGGACCTGCGGATGCTTGCAGGTCTACCTTGGGTCTCCGCGTGGACTGAAGGTAGCCTCCAAACTACGGTTCAAGAGCTGCTCCGGGATCTGCACATAGTGCAGAGTGTAGTATCAACACAACCGACCCCATGTGCTGGTAAATGCCTAGCCTAACCTCGGGGAAGTAGTGACGAGGCTAGGACTAGACTACCAAATAAATCTATGCAGTTATATAAGATATAACGGAAAGTAAAGCAGGAATAAACAAATAAAGGTGGGGGGGGGGCATGCTTCGGGGAATAACAGGTAAAAACAGAATATCAAGAGAATTATAAAGGAACCAAAATCCAACTACTAACAAGGATAAGGAAAACAAAGACAGATTTCACTTTCATTTCACATCTTGTTGCAGGCGTGCAATCCGATCCCATTTCATTTACCTCGTTGCAGGCGTGCCACCCGCTCCTATTTCAAAAATCTCGTGGCAGGCATGCCATCCGCTGCTATTTCAAATATCTTGTGGCAGGCGTGCCACCCGCTCCCATTTCAATTATTTCGTGGCAGGCGTGCCACCCGCTCCCATTTCAAATATCTTGTGGCAGGCGTGCCACCCGCTCCCATTTCATATATTTCTGTGGCGGCGTGCCACCCGATCCCAGTTACAAACCAACAATAATTACAAAGAATCCCGCCAAGGGAATAAGAGCAATATAACAACTTTCCCGGCAAGGGAACATTAATATTTCAACAACATCCCAGCAAGGAGACAATGGTATTTCAACAATATTTCGGCAAGGGAACAATAATATCAAGGCAAACACCCCA